CATGAAAGAAGAGTTCAAGAGCTCAGCAATACAGTCAAACTCAACAATATGTGTGTCATAGGAATCCCAGAAGAGGAAGAGAGAGGGAAAGGTGCTGAAGGAATCATGGAACAAATTATAGCAGAGAACTTCCCCAACCTGGGGAAGGATGTAAACGTTGAAATACAAGCAGCACAAAGAACTCTCCTCAGACGTAATTTGAATCAATCTTCTGCACGAAATATCATAGTAAAAATGGGAAAAATATAAGGACAAGAGAAAATTTTGAAAGTAGCTAGGGAGAAAAGGGCCCTAACATACAAAGGGAAACCTATCAGAGTGGTGACAGACCTATCTACTGAAATTTGGCAGGCCAGAAAGGAATGACAAGAGATCTTCAATGTGATGAACAGAAAAAATATGCAGCCAAGAATCCTCTATCCAGCAAGCCTGTCATTCAAAATAGAAGGAGAGATAAAAGTCTTCCCAAATAAACAGAAATTTAAAGAATTTGTCACCACTAAGCCAGCCCTTCAAGAAATCCTGAGGGGAATGCTCTTAAGGAAAGGTTGCAAGGAACAAAGATACCAGAGACACCACCACAAACATGAACCCTACAAAAGATACAAAGACTCTAAACCCACATATTTCAATACTAACACTGAATGTAAATGGGCTGAATGCTCCAATCAAAAGATATAGCATGGCAGAATGGATTAAAAAATAAAATAAATAAAAAAATAAAATCCGTCTATTTGCCGTCTACAAGAAACTCACTTTAGACTGGAAGATAACTTCAGATTAAAAGTAAGGGGATGGAGAAATAGCTATTATGCTACTGGAAATCAAAAGAAAGCTGAAGTAGCTATACTTATATCAGACAAACTGGACTTTAAATTAAAGACAATAACAAGAGATGAAGAAGGGCATTATATAATAATTACAGGGTCTATCCATCAGGAAGAACTAACAATCATAAATGTCTACGCACCGAATATGGGAGCACCTAAATATTTAAAACAATTAATCACAAACAGAAACAATCTTATAGATAAGAATGTGCTAATAGCAGGGGTCTTTAATACTCTGCTTACAGAAGTGGATAGGTCAACCAGGCAGAAAATCACTAAAGAAATAATGGACTTGAAAGACACATTGGACCAGATGGATCTGACGGATATATTTAGAACTTTACATCCTGAGGCCAGGGAATTCACTTTCTTCTCAAGTGCGCATGGCACATTCTCAAAGATAGACCACATACTAGGACATAAAGCAGCCCTCAATAAATACAAAAGAATTGAGATCATAGCATGCA